ATACCTGTTCGGAATACTGCGACAACCGTAAGGATGATATTCTCGAAGTAGGAGTCCCCGTAACAGTCCCCCTGGGAGTCCTCGTAGGAGTCCTACTAGTCCTACTAGGAATCCTCATAGGAATCCTGGTAGTCCTACTAAGAATCCTCGTAGGAGTCCTACTAGTCCTACTAAGAATCCTCGTATGAGTCCTACTAGTCCTACTAGGAATCCTCATAGGAGTCCTACTAGTCCTACTAAGAATCCTCGTAAGAGTCCTACTAGTCATACTAGGAATCCTCATAGGAATCCTAGTAGTCCTACTAAGAATCCTCGTACTAGTCCTACTAAGAATCCTCGTAGGAGTCCTACTAGTCCTACTAGGAATCCTCATACGAATTTTAATAGTCCTACTAAGAATCTTCGTAGGATTCCTACTAGTCCTACTAAGAATCCTCATCGGAGTCCTAGTAGTCCTACTAAGAATCCTCGTAGGAGTCCTAGTAGTCCTATACTAAGAATCCTCGTAGGAGTCGTAGTAGTCCTACTAAGAATCCTCGTAGGAGTCCTAGTAGTCCTACTAAGAATCCTCGCAGGAGTCCTACTAGTCCTACTAAGAATCCTCGTAGGAGTCCTAGTAGTGCTACTAGGAATCCTCGTAGGAGTCCTAGTAGTCCTGATAGGAATCCTCGCAGGAGTCGTAGGAGTCCTAGTAGTCCTACTAGGAATCCTCGTAGGAGTCCTAGTAGTCCTGCTAGGAATCCTCGTAGGAGTCCGAGTAGTCCCACTAAGAGTCCTCGTAGGAGTCCTAGTAGTCCTACTAAGAATCCTCGTAGGACTCCCAGTAGTCCAACTAAGAATCCTCGTAGGAATCCTTGTAGGAGTCCTCGTAGGAGTCCTACCAAGAGACCTCCGAACTGCCTCAAACACGCCGCCGACAGACATCCCACGATATCCCAACGGTCATCATCATCATCACCACCAGCATCATCATCGTCATCGTCGTCGTCGTCATCGTCATCATCATCACCATTCGCATCATCATCATCATCATCATCATCATCTTCCTCATCATCGTCATCATCGTCGTCATCATCCTCGCCATCATCACCATCATCAGCATATTCCTCATCATCGCCATCCTCGACATCATCAACGTCATCGTCATCGTCATCATCGTCCTCACCACCATCACCATCATCATCATCACCATCACCGTCACCATCATCGTCATCATCATCATCACCATCCTCACCATCTTCTTCACCATCCTCATCATCATCACCATCCTCATCACCCTCAGCGGGGCAGGCCGCAGGCAGCTGGATAAACCTCTACTCACCCTCCTCCTCCTCCTCCTCCTCCTCTTCCTACTCTCGTCCCTCCTCCTCCTCGTCATCATCGTCATCATCATCCGCATATTTGTCCACATCATCACCATCGTCACCATCATGGTCACCATCATCGTCATCATCATCCACACCCACGTCATCCTCCTCATCATCATCCTTATCATGATCATAATCCTCATATTCATCATCATCATCATCGTCATCGGCATCATCATCACCATCCTCGTCCACCTCATCATCATCGTCATCATCATCACCAGCCACATCCACGTCGTCATCATCATCATCGTCATCATCACCACCATCATCATCATCAGCGTCATCGTCGTCGTCATCGTCATCGTCATCACCATCACCATTACCATCATTATAAGCATCGTCATCGTCATCGTCATCACCCTCATCATCATCACCATCGGCATCGTCATCGTCATCGTCATCGTCGTCATCATCAGCATCACCACCACCACCATCATCATCATCATCGTCATCGTCATCGCCATCGTCATCGTCGTCGTCATCATCATTATCATCCTGATCATCATCATCATCATCATCATCATCATCATCATCATCATCATCATCATCATCATCATCATCATCATCATCATCGTCATCATCATCATTATCATGTTGCGCACCCCTCGCGAGTACGGCCTCCTTTGCCCCCTCGAACGAGCGGTGCCCAGCATCATGGCCTGGCACGGTGGCGGGACTTGCCGCAGGCAGCTGGTATTAACAAGCGCCCCCTCCCACAAGCTCCTTATTAATAAGCACCCCCATCCCAGGCGACCAGCGAAGAGGGGGGGCGCGAATCGACAATCCGAGCCTTCCGCCCGAAGAGGCCTCCAGGAGGCACCAAGAGGCCTGCAAGAAGCCCCAGAGGCCCCCAGGAGACCCCTAAAGAGGCCCCTAGACGGCTACCAAGAGACCTCCGGACTGCCTCAAACACGCCGCCGACAGACATCCCACGATATACCAACGGTCATCATCATCATCGCCACCATCATCATCATCGTCATCGTCGTCGTCATCGTCATCGTCATCATCATCACCATTCGCATCATCATCATCATCAGCATCTTCCTCATCATCGTCATCATCGTCGTCGTCATCATCCTCGCCATCATCACCATCATCAGCATCTTCCTCATCATCGTCATCCTCAACATCATCATCATCATCGTCATCGTCATCGTCATCATCGTCCTCACCACCATCACCATCATCATCATCATCACCATCACCATCATCGTCGTCGTCATCATCATCATCATCATCATCATCATCATCATCATCATCATCATCATCATCATCATCATCATCATCATCATCATCATCATCATCATCATCATCATCATTATCATTATCATCGTCATCATTATCATCGCCATCCCCAGGAGGCCTCAGAGGCGCTCCAGGAGGCGCCAGAGGCGTTCCAGGAAGCCCAAAACGCTCTCCAGGAGGCCCCAGAGTCGCTCCAGGAGGCCCAAGACGCGCTCCAGGAGGCCACAGAGGCGCTCAAGGAGGCCCAAGACGCTCTCCATGAAGCCCGGGACACTCGCCAGGAGGTCCCACAGGCTCCCCAGGAGGCCCTAGAGGCGCTCCAGGAGGCGGTAGAGGCCCTCCAGGAAGCCCAAAACGCTCTCGAGGTTCTCCTGTGTTGCTCTGTTGCTGTTGCTGGGGGGGGGGGTCGGCCGGGCGCCAGTGAGTGTTTTCGTCAACAACAACAACAACAACAACAACAACAACAACAACAACAACAACAACAACAACAACAACAATATAACAACGACACCAACGACAACAAACAAAATAATAAAAAAAAACGAGAACACCAACAACAACAGCAACAACAACATCAACATCAAAAGGCAGCATCATCATCATCATCAACAACAGCAGCATCATCATCAGCATCATCGACAACAACAGCAGCAGCATCACCAGCATCAGAATCATCATCATCATCAGCGGCAGCATCATCATCAACAACATCATCATCACCATCACCATCATCATATCGTTATCGATATCAGTATTAGCAGCATCATCAACAGCATCAGCATCACCACCATCGTCACCACCATCATCACCATCATCAGCATTATCGACATCATCATCATCATCATCATCATCATCATCATCATCATCATCATAGGAAGCATCAGCATCAGCAACATCATAATCAGCAGCAACAGCAGCACCGTCATTTGCATAGTCATCATCAGCAGCATCAGCATCATTAGCATCATCATAGTTATCAGCAGCATCATCATCAGCATCATCAAGGTCAGCATCATGCTCATCAACACCGGAATCGTCAGCATCAGCATCATTATCAGCAGCATCATCCTCAGCAGCATCATCAGCACCATCATCATCGTCAGCAGCATCGGCATCATCGTCATCATCAGCATCATCATCGTCATCAGAATCATCATTACCACCATCACCTTCGTCATCATCATCATCATCATCAGCAGCATCATCATACTCATCAACAACCACAGCACCGTCATCGTCATCATCCTCAGCAACACCAGCATCATTAGTATCAGCATCATCATCGCCGTCACCATCCTCATCATCATCGTCAGTATCTCCATCATACTCAGCATCAGCATCCACATCATCACCATCATCATCATCATCTGCATCATCATCATCATCACCATCACCATCACCATAAACATCAGTATCATCAATATCACCAGCATGATCACCATCATCATCAACAACATCATCGTCAGCATCACCAGTATCACCATCATCATCAGCATCACCAGTATCACCATCATCATCAGCATCACCATCACCATCATCATCAATATCGTTACCATCATCAGCATCATCGTCAGCATCAACAGGAGAATCAACATCAGCAGCATCCTCATCAGCATCAGCAGCAACATCATCATTAGCAGCAGCATCGTCATCATCAGCATCATCAGTATCATCAGCATCAGCATCATCATCATCATCCTCAGCATCATCATCATCATCATCATCATCATCATCATCATCATCATCATCATCATCGTCATCATCATCATCATCATCATCATCATCATCATCATCATCATCATCATCATCATCATCATCGCCATCCTCATCATCATCGTCCTCCTCCTTCTCTTCCTCCTCATCATCATCATCATGTTCCTCCTTCCCCTCATCCACAGCCTCCTCCTCCTCCCTACCTCTCTCCTTCTCTCAATTCCTGCTTCCCTCCCGCACTCCCTCCCTCCATCCCTCCCTCCCTCTTCCTCCTCCTCTTAGCAGACACTGCCGACGGCATGCGCTGCCCCGACGCGACGCCAGAGCGTGCGGTTACCACGGATGCACCAACCGCGCCTCGATCAGCGGCGCGGCGAGGACGAGGCCCGCGATGCAGAGCCGCTGCAGGGACACCCACGCGCTGTAGCCCGAGTGGGCCGCCGCCGCGATCAGGGACGACGCCGAAAGGGTCGCCGTCAGCGCCAGGATGCAGGAGGTTGCCAAGGCTGACCTGGCCCAGACGCCACTGGCCTGTTCGAGCCGTTTTGGGGCCCCCTGCGGCCCTCTGGGCCTCGCGAGGGGTGCTCTGGAGGCCACCTGGTCCTCTCTGGACCAGCTGGGGCCACTCTGGGCCAGGGCCACCTCCTGCAACCTCCGAGGATGGGGCACGCGTGTCTGCCGTAGGCCTCCAGGATAGGCAGGCCAAGCGCGCGGCTCTGAAAGGGCCCCGCGCATAAACTGATGCCGAGTGTCATGGTGGCCCAGCCCAGCAGGCGGAAGACCCACACGCGGCACGGGTTGCGCCGCACGACCTGGCAGAACGCCTTCTCCTTCGGATCGATCTGATCTGACACGAAGCAGATCTCATCGGTGATTATCTCCTCGGAGGAAAAAGGAACAATCCATCATAGAGATCCACTGGCCCGACGTGTGCCCAGATGCTGATGGCCTGGCCACGAGCCTGCGTGTACAGCCAACTCGTACCATAAGGATGCCCGGTAAGGACGCAAGGGCATTGGAGGCCCACGCGAACGCTTTCCGAACGAGGCTGGACAGCGAAAGTCGCTAGGGATGGGCCGAAGGGGCAAGGATGCAAGGGTAGCTTTGGGAAGGTTGCCCATCATTACTATGCGGGTTGGCTGTGTCCACCAATGCCAGGACGGAGGGGATGGAGGAGGAGGACGACGAGGCAGTCGATCGAGAGGGCGATGGCCATGCTGCCACCGATGTGGCGTGCCAGGGAACCCCCCTCTCTCTACCTTCCCCCACCGCGCAGGAGGGGGAAACGGAGGGAAAGAGGACGTAAAAGGAGCAGGGGAGGAGAAGGAGGAGGAGGAAGAAGAGGAGGAGGGAGGAGGAGGAGGTAGAGGAGGAGGCAGAGGTGAGGAGGAGGAGGAGAGGAGGACGACGACGACGACGACGACGACGACGACGACGACGACGACGACGACGACGACGACGACGACGACGGCGACGGCGACGACGACGGAGAAAAGGAAGAGAAGGAGAAGAAGGAGGACGAGGACGAGGAGGAGGAGGAAGAGAAGGAGGGGGAGGAGGAGGAGGAGGAGGAGGAGGAGGAGGAGGGAGGAGGAGAAGGAGAGGAGGTGAGGAAAGAGAAGGAGAGGAGGAGGAGGAGGCGTGAGAAGGAGGAGGAGGAGGGAGGAGGAGGAGAAGGAGAAAAGGAGGGCGAAGGAGGAGTGGTGAAGGCTGGGGAGGGAGGAGGAGGAGGAGGACGGACGGAAAGGAGGAGGGGAGGAGGAAGAGGGAGCAAGAGGTGAGGAGGAGGAAAGAGGAAAGAGGCGAGGAGGAGCGAGGCGAGGACGGACGGAAGAGGAAGAGAAGGAGGAGAAGGAGAAGGAGAGGAGGAGGAGAAGGAGATGGAGAAGGAGAAGGAGAAGGAGAAGGAGAAGGGGAGAAGGAGGAGGAGGTGGAGAAGGAGAAGGGGGGAGGAGGGGAGCAGGAGGAGGGAGGAGAAAGGAGGGGGAGGAGGAGGAAGGGAAGGGAGGAGGAGGAGGAGGAGGGGAGGGACGACGAGGTCGAGGAGGAGGAGGAGGAGGGGAGGGAGGGAGGGAGGAGGAGGAGGAGGAGGAGGAGGAGGAGGAGGAGGACAAACTAGGTGCGCTCGCGTCATATCTGACATCCTACCCCTCCCTCCCATCCCTTACCATGGCGCAGATCCCCTCTCTACTCGCACAGTCGGATGTCGAGCAGGGCAATGATCCCGAAAGGGTACGCGATGCATTGTAGAGCACGGCATGGCATGGCGTAGACGAGCACCGCGAAGCGTAGCATCAACCTAGCATTGCATTGCATGCCGTGGCATGGCACGGGAAATGACGCCAGCGCTGCAGCGGGAGCACGAGCCGAAACGAGCGGAAGCGCGGAAATGAGGCCAACGCTGCAGCGGGAGCACGATTCGGAACGAGCGGAAGCACGCCAGAATCGGCCCGGGAGGCTTCCCTGGCGCCATAAGCAGAAATTCAACATTTTAAACAGAAAAATGTATATTGGAATGGCCTTTTTTCGGCGCCGCCTCGGAACTCGACTTTCCGGCGCCGGCCAGAACCGGCTCCGGACCCGGCCCGGGCGCCGGCCCGGGCTCGGGCGTCTGGCCCGGCGCCGGCTCGGGCGCCAGCCCGGGCGTCGGAATCGGCCCGGGAGTCCCCCCGGGCGCCGGAAGCAGAAATTGAGCATTTTCAACAGAAAAATGTATATTGGAATGGCCTTTTTTCGGCGCCGCCTCGGAACTCGATTTTCTGGCGCCGGCCAGAAACGGCTCCGGACCCGGCCCGGGCGCCGGCCCGGGCGCTGGCTCCGGCGTCCGGCCCGGGCGCCGGCTCGGGCGCTGGCCTGGGCGTCGGAATCGGCCCAGGAGGCCTCCCGGGCGCCGGAAGCAGAAATTGAGCATTTTCAAAAGAATTATCCTGGCAAAGCAACCTAACAGCGATGTGTAGCAGCATATCTGGAAGCATTCCCCTTAAGATTCAGATGAGAGGCCAGTTGTAGAATTCTGCTGTTCTCGCAGTCGTAGTCGCATTCGCGATGACAGTCGCAGTGGCAACGGCAGTCGCAGTCACAGCCTCAGCCTCAGCCTGTCTCAGCCTCAGTCTGCCTCTGCCTCAGCCTCAGCCTGCTTCAGCCTCAGCATCAGTCTGCCTTCAGCCTCGGCCTCAGCCTCCGCCTGCCTCAGCCTCACCCTGCATGAGCCTCAGCCTCAGCCTCAGCCTGCCTCAGCATCAGCCTGCCTCAGCCTCAGCCTCAGCCTGCCTCTGCCTCAGCCTCAGCCTGCTTCAGCCTCAGCCTCAGTCTGCCGTCGGCCTCGGCCTCAGCCTCAGTCTGCCTCAGCCTCAGCCTGCATCAACCTCAGCCTCAGCCTCAGCCTCAGCCTGCCTCAGCCTCAGCCTGCCTCAGCCTCAGCCTCAGCCTGCCTCTGCCTCAGCCTGCATCAGCCTCAGCCTCAGCCTCAGCCTGCCTCAGCATCAGCCTGCCTCAGCTTCAGCCTCAGCCTCAGCCTGCCTCTGCCTCAGCCTCAGACTGCTTCAGCCTCAGCCTCAGTCTGCCGTCGGCCTCGGCCTCAGCCTCAGCCTGCCTCAGCCTCAGCCTGCATCAGCCTCAGCCTCAGCCTCAGCCTGCCTCAGCATCAGCCTGCCTCAGCCTCAGCCTCAGCCTCAGCCTGCTCAGCCTCAGCCTGCTTCAGCCTCAGCCTCAGTCTGCCTTCAGCCTCGGCCTCAGCCTCAGCCTGCCTCAGCCTCAGCCTGCATCAGCCTCAGCCTCAGCCTCAGCCTGCCTCAGCATCAGCCTGCCTCAGCCTCAGCCTCAGCCTGCCTCAGCCTCAGCTCAGCCTGCTTCAGCCTCAGCCTCAGTCTGCCTTCAGCCTCGGCCTCAGCCTCAGCCTGCCTCAGCCTCAGCCTGCATCAGCC